AACTATAGACTTAGTATTTTGACATCACAAACATCTAATTTGAATCATTGCTGCATTCAACATACCACGTGACACACAAAAATCAGTGTTTAGGTATGTGTTTTTTAATATTTACTTTTAAATTAAGAAATTAAATAATGTATAATACTAAAATTTGAATTATAATCTACAGTTTGATATCAAATTTATTGTCATAAATTCATGAAATAGTAGTTCAATAAAATTTTGAATGCAAGTCAACAAACAAGATGGCATGGCCTTTGACCTGTAACCCATTTGGAAAGGTTTAAAACAATAGAAACTTGATTCTTTACACTAGTCTTCCATTTGAGAAAATTTAAGTCTTTCCTTAGCAATATCAAGATCTTTTAATAATTCTGGTAAATTAATGTTTTGTATGATATTACTCATAAAATATGTTTAACAATAAATAAGTTTGAACAAGCTCTGTATTATGTGTAACACATTTGTGCAATTTGGCCAACATGCCTTTCAAATAGAAGGCATACCTATAAGAGGTAACTTCAGCCCACAAATTGCAAAAAAAAAACAACAACATTAGATTTGACTAGTAATTACTGTGTCATATTTATCGTCATTGGTACTTTCTTTTCTATATTTCAGAAAGACCCAAAACTCAAGTGCTTCTTAATAGTTGACTATTCTTCTTCAGGAAAGAAAAAACAAAACAGTCAACTTTTAAGTGTCAGTATTATTGTGAGCTTGTTTGCTCATATTTGGGACTTAAATTTATTTTACTTCTAGCTGCCCATTCTATATTTGTAATAGAATATCAAGGATTAAGTAAATTTAGATTAGTTGTGGTAGACACAACTTATGGTACATTTAGTTTATTTTTAGCTTTATGTTTTAGTCATGCTGAGATGGGTGCATTCCATCTTAAGGACAGCATTGTATCACTGAATTTAAAAAAATTATAGAAAATAAACTTGTATTCATTCTTCCACATATTTAAAAAAACATTATTTATTCATTTAATTTTTATAGATAAATGGCAAATTTTGATTTTTGGTTAAAAAACACTACATGTAGTTTTACTGGGGTTATGATCACTGGTCTACAATAAAAGTAATATTTTTACCACAGTAAAATTATAAGCGAGCCAATTTTTTAAGAGCTGTTAATCAGAATATTTCATTTAACAAGTTTTAAACCCATTTTATATTCATTTATAATTATCCTTTTAATGATTTCCATTGCCCATTCAAGACGTTATTTAGATCTATGAGGTCTAATGGAAACAAAGCCTAACACAGCAGCCTTGTCAGCAAAACCAAACTTGGTATTATCAAGTTCAAAATGATTTAACTGATCCTCCCTCATCTTGTTTTACAAAATACATTTCTTTCCTTATCATACACCAAACACAATTCAATTGAGTATAACGTGAAAGCAAGCTTTTTGTAAACTTTACATTTACTGCTAAGGATACACTTGAGCAGTTAGCATTTGTTCTTGTGTGCTCACAACAAATGTGTGGCATAAATAAAGATGAGTAAAGATTACACATTTTATATTTGTTATTATTGCTATTGTTTAAATTGAAAACACAATAATATTGCACTAAAACTCTAATCAGCAGTAATAATAATAATAATAATAATTAGTATTATGATTTTTGCAGAAGTTGTTCCCAAACATTTCTTTTTCTTGCAACATATTACCAAGTTAAGCTTTTATCACTCTGTTCTGATCTTTACACACACTTCTGCTGAATTAGAAAACGCATTGGCTTACACAGTCGAAAGGTAGAAAAGAAAAGAGCTTTTATTACATGTTTGGTTAACTAGACTATGACTTCTCAAAGATGAGATATAGATAATTACGTCACACCATTATAACGGAGGCCAAGCAAAAAGGCAAAAATTGATAAATCTACATTTGTTTTGATGTTACAAGGTCGATTTAGAGCTATTTTATTCAGAATTAATATTTCAACTTTCCTTCTAGAACTACAAATGACATATTATATTCTCTAAGAATTCAGAAAATTCACAAGTGCTAACAGTTACATGAATAACAGAATTAATAGAATATTGGTATTCTAACTTCACACACATCTGTGTCAAGTTGAAAACTGTTTTACAGATTTATTCCATTAAACAAAACTATTGGATGAAATAATTTAAAACTTCAGATGAACTTTATTTTAAAAAACCTTAATTTTATTTCTATTATTATTCCTTATTGTTTATTATCATGCATTATTTTTTTTATCTATACAGTTCAATTAGATACTTTAGCCAAACAGTAATACATGTTGTAGTATTTTATCTCAGGCGTGAAGCTGGTCTCAAGTTACACTGTCAGTCATTTAATGCGCTTTCATTGGTCACAAGTCATTTTTAGAGAGGATCGTATTAAGTTTTGTGTACTCTTATCTATTCTTTATTTAAATGCCATTTTCATTACCAATATTGATTAGAATGTTTAAATTATGTGTTTTTATAAATATTTTTATTATAAACATTACTTTGCATTTTTAGCTTAGTGTGTGGATTTATAACTAATTTAAATCTCCAAACTGATATTATTAGGATTCTGGCCAAAAATATCATGAACAGTGAGGGTAGCCAACTGATAAAACAAAACAGTATATTTACTTACCTTTATTCATTACTGGGTTGATTTTTAGTTTTAATTTGTGTAGATAACTTGCTTTGACCAGGAGTTAATATTAATTGAATATCTTTCTCAGCATGGTGTTGTGTCTGGTAGTGAGGACAAAGATGTGAAGTTTTGGGATTTTGAACTGATAAAGGATGAAAAATACTCTCAAACAAGGTTTGTATGTTTAAAACGTATTTTAAAAGTCTGTGCAACAGATGTACAAAGTATCGATACTGTTGTAACATGTATAAGAATATATACTTCATAAACATAAATGTTTTATTCAAATAAAACTTTGATTCATTGTAATAAGAAATTACAAATGCTGAAAATTACCACTTTTTCAAAATTTTAGGATATTTTTTGCTGATAATTATTTAATGACTTTTTTATAATGTCTAATAACTTGTTGAGAGTTATCATTTCACCTATGTATTTTAATAGAGTTTTTTTAAATAGTAAAAGGTTAACACTTGTCCACACTCGAACCTTGAAGATGTCTGAGGATGTGCTTTGTGTTTGCTACAGGTAAGCCAATCTTATTCATATGAACAGCTCAAACCTAGACACAACACATTAATAATGTACATTCAAAATTATCACCATCTGATGGTAAACTATCAAACATGTAAATATCTGCATATGTAGAAGTTGCTCCTTCTGTCATAAGTAACTAATAATTAGATGTGTTAGTATATGAAAGATTTGGTGTCAAACCTTTTGTCAGAATAAATTGAATTAATAGTTTTATCTTTTTGTATTGTTTATAAACAGTAATAATTTGATTTGTTTTATAGTATACAAAGTAATCTTAATTT